CTAGCAGCAGCACATGTAGTTGCTATAGGGACAATACCTCTCTTATAGATGATTTGCTACAAAATACACGTCCTTGCTCAGAGACGTAACACAGTGGGAGGAATTTCTGAGGTGTTAGAATGTGCTGAGGGAACCCTCTGCTTAGCAAATTGTGATAAAGTGATATGTTTATAATATTGCAAAATGGTTAGGAATATTCTTTAGTTGCATTCTTGCCTTACAGTTACCCTGCACAGATCAACATCAGGAGAGATTAAGTCATTACTGAGATGATCACAAGACAGTTAATTTATTATTTATCAAACACGGTACACGGTGAGGTAGTTTTCGATTATTCATAAGTTCCCTCTGGTAGGAGATGAGGATTTGAACAGTGGATACATTTCTCTCATAGAACCTTGTTTTATGGCGGGCCCATGTATTATCGTAAATACTGGCAGCCTAAATAATTACCATCAGATGGATTTCCACATGTTTATCGGGCACGTCCTTAAAGAGGCTTGAATGCGGCATGACCACGCAGCACAGATGAGCTGACTGCCTCTTAGCTGTGGAGCTTTCCTTCTGAACACTTATGTGTCATTTCTTTTGGGCATCACATGCCCTCTGAGCAGAAAGCCTGTTGTTTCTGAGCTGGAGCCTTTTCTCATTAGGTTGCTGGTGTGTCTGTTAAAACAGCGCTTCTTTCTCACAGCTCCACTTGGTTCTCACTTTGGATATGTTCAAACCACAGCAGAGAAACACTAGACTTGTTTCCTCTCATCACTGCCAGGAAAAGGCAGTGATCACTCATGTCTCAGACCAGCTTTTTTTTTGTTTTTGCAGGATTTCAGCTTACTGTCATGATTACGTATTGCACCTATGCTAGGTGCTATAATGTAAGTGCTCCTTTACTCCCTTTCCATTCCCCTGTCTCTGTTTACACGTTCCTGCTGTCAGCTGTCCAGTCATCTTTCTGTTATCCTTGTTCTTTTCCTCTCTCATCCATTTCCATCTTTTCAAATATCCTGTGTTGGTGAATAGTAGAAATCTCTAATTTCTTTCCTTGTGTGGGTTCATGTTTGATGCAAAACCAAGAAGCGTAATGAAAGAATTGAGCCAGCGTGAGAGGCAGCACTGCAAAGCCGAGGAAAGTGGTTGCTTGTGTTTATCCTTGTGTGATTCACCATCTGTGACAAAGCACTCTTCTATTACCAATAGATGATTGACAGGGAAAATACATTAAAATGTAAGAAGGAAAAATCAAAGGTAGGAGGAGAGAACATCTGGTCTTGTGTGATCCACAGCCAATTTGAATGCGAAAAGCTTGATCTTCTATATCAGAGCAGGTCCTGCTTGAAGATATGTGAAGGGAAAGGAAGGATCGAGATAAACAGGAAAGTGACCAAATAAGATTAGATTTAAAATTAGAGGCAGTCTAAAAATAGAAGGTACATTACAAAAGACGACAGGAGGAGCAACTTCAAGACGAAGGGTGGAGAAAAAGGAAGCATGGGAGGAAAAAAATATTCAGCGTCACAGCTAGAAAGCGTTTGCACAGAGACCAAGAGTAAAAATTGAGAAATGGAGTGGTTTACAAAAACTGTATTTCCGGTGGAAGAAATACTTGAGAGGTTGAGGAGAAAAAAAGGAAAATAAAATAAACACATCAGCGCCACTGGTATGATGCTCCCATCTCCCATCCTAAATCTGTTTGATCATTTTCATTGAACACTTTCAGATGGACAGAGTGGTTTAACAATTATTTCAAATGATGTTTTTTTCCAAGTCTCAGAAGGACCTTGTTATCTCGACTGGTATGCAAAGGTCTGGAATACACAGCCAATTAAAGACATTTAAAGCACATTCCTATTACATCATGTCATAGTCCTAACTTAAACCAGCACATCACAGCTCCATTGCACCATACCACACTGCACAACATCATACGTGTTTTGTTTCAAAATAATTTGGAAGCAATAAAATATATAAAGGACATTACTGTTTATTACTCTTCTCAGTTAACAATTACTTTTTTTCTTCAGTTTATCTTTCTTTTTCTTGGCGTAATGGTATGGCTGTGTTAACATTTCACATGTCTAACACAGTCTTAAAAGGTCATTTAGGAGTAATGAACAAAGCGATGCATCAGGGAAAGCACTTTTGCTTTCAGGACAATAATGATGAGTGTCTGTTGTCCCTGTTTGTGTTTTTTTTGTGTGTGTGTCCTGCAATGTTGGCACTTTTTGGATTAGTGTGAAGTCTGTAAGTGGACAGAGTGGTCTGATTGACTGTTATATTTAATGACTAGGCTCCAAACATCATTTTCAACCTAACAATAATTGTTGATGTTATTTATCTATCCATTAGGCTGAAATACTAGATAAAAACATAACTGCACAACACAATAAACCTGATGTTCTGTTTAAAATGGTGGGAATTTGCTCCCTTAAAGGTTTAATATGTAGACTTTTTTTCTTCTAGAGGAGTTCCTGTTTTTCCAAGGCTAATACCTGAAAGCTGTTGAGGATAAAAAGCTTTGTTAATTTTGTTTTAATGCCAAACACTTTTTAATTCAGAAGGTTTGAATTTGGCATCACAAGACATTGTTGATATGTATGAATATGTATGAATATTTCAGCAGTCAAACTGCAAAATTTGATTTACTGAATAAGCTAATTCAATTTCCATTTTGGGATCCATATCAATACCTGGCAGTGCAAACAGGTTTATAGTCTGTTGGCCTAATTGCATGGAGGTGAAAGTATGGCACATGGAGTCAAGATCAAAGTAGATCCTGGTCAGTCAGCTCTTTTGTCCATCTTGCCATCAGATGGTCACCTCCTAAGACCTTCAGCCATCACTTTGTTAGTTGTATATATGAAGTTACTGTCCTACCACATGACTAACATTGTCAACAAAGAGGGCAAAAACAGACTGTACAAAAGAAGGATCTCTGGGCAATGCTCTTTTTTCTTCCTCACATATTGCTGCAGTGACTCATTATCCCAATGCAACAGACTAATTTGCATTACAAGATGCTAACTTTAGTAGATATCACTGCAACATAGGCATCATCACAGTCTGTTGATGAATAATGTTTTTTGAAAAGGCTTCTTAGTCTCAATTTTGCATATTTAATTCGAGTTACTAATATATCAGTGGCTAATAGACAGCTGTTTGCTGTTCAGTATTTAGTATCTAAGCCTGCAGTGAAATGTCAAAATCCACTGAGACATAATTGACATTTCCACTCCAAGACAGTGTTTTGGTTATTCAGCATCAAATATGCTTACTTTAGTCCTCGCTTCACTCAACATGACGTTAATAATGTTCATTTGAGCCCAGATTAACAAGCATCTAAATCTACATGAAGACCCCTGAAACAAGCCTGTGTTTATTTTAAGCTCTTTTCATCTAATAACTATTAATAGACATCTGAGAAGCTGCTGAGCATGAAGACGATGTTTCATTTGAATGTTATGGCATGCATACACCCCTGTGTTAAATACAGACAAATTAAATGCACTGATAAAGTTGTTAAGATCAAATTAATCAAAAGCCCTGTTTGTCCCTGTTTTTTCTGTATCTGAGCTTTCTTTGTCACATATACAGGGAAACTAAGCAAACAAACACTCAAACAAACAACATGCTGATGGCGCACAACGAAACCTTTCTTTTAAACAGCAGAAAGGTTTGGACATGGTGTGCATTGTTAATGTAAGTTTATATTTTGTCATTTATTGTGCACTTTACTAGAAATGTAAACTCCTTGTGAAGACACGTCCCCTGAGGCTTTACAAATTCACTGTTGCACATGGAGTGGCATTCTAGCTTTAGATTAGACAAATACACTTATGATTCCTGGAACTGTTTCAATCTGCAAGACCCTGGGAGACAATGCACTCTGAATATCAAGTGTCTTACACCTCGAGTATTTAAAGTATCTTGGAGACTGTAGCTGAATACATGGAATGCATATCTGAAACACACATATGCATTACAGGCCCTGTGATGGACTTGTGGACCATCCAGGGTGTACCCTCGCCCATTGAATACTGGGCTTATTCCCCATTTTGGGAATAAGCGGTTCAGAAAATGGATGGACATATGCATTCCATGCATATGATTTAAACGGCTGTTAATATATTTCTTTCACTCTGTCTATTTGGAAAGCTGTGATGAATATTTTTGATATTATTGTATTAATAATATTGTTAATCATTTCTTTTTAATGATATCTCCTTAACTCTTTGTGTAATAGGTAGGTGGTTCCCCAGTGCGCAGTATGGAGCAGCCTGTATTGGCACCTCTTTCTCTTTGTTTATCCAGTAAATCGGTGCCCAATGTAGCCTTTTTGCTCAAGCCTACTGTCAAACCCCTTTGGAGAAAAAAGGTTGAGACAAAACCACTCTCCCATAAAGCGGTTCAATGATTCATTTATTTGATTGATGCATAAAGCTCTCTGAGGAAATGAATCAGCCAGTGCTTGAAAATTAACCTTTAACATTGTTCCAGAACAAGACAGTTTTCCATTCTAGTTCCACCATTCAATCATATAAACTAATAGTGTTCACTGATGCTTAGCAGAAATACTCCACCTCACCTGCCAGGGATGCTCCAGTGAAGAGGAGTATCGGTGCATTGGTCCACTGTAGCACTTAAGCCAAACATATCGCAGAAATTTTAACTTACTTTTGTATCATCTTGTGTTGGCTACTGGGCTAAACCTGCAAAAAAAAATTTGCTTAAAGATTTACTAAAGTATTGATAAAATCTATATAAGTATGATCTCAGGAATGACTTACTTAGTTTAAATTTAAAATATTTATTTTTCAAAGCTTTGTAAGGGCAGTTGTGGCAGAATCCTCTTGCCTGAGTCAGGTGGACATGCGACTGTTGGTTGATTTGGTGTGAAATTTGCTGTTGCCATATATCGTCTTGGTTGATTTTTGTGACAGAAAATGATTAATTCAGCTCATTTAAAACTCGGCTCCCCCTGTTGTGTCTGCAGGTAAAGTATGACTGCAGCAGCAGGTGTACTTACAGGCCTGGCCAAACTAAAGCGGCAGGATTCCGCTCGTTCTCAGCACCGGTCGATACCGCCTTCATCACCAGGCCTGGGAATCCCTACACCTGAGGCTGCTCCGAGGTAGTTGCCATTTGGTTTCAGAAATCAACAATAATCATACAAATGCTCCTAATAATAAAAATAATCTTATAGCCTTATATGACACAGGACTTAGATATAATGATATGTTATATCTAAAGGTATAGAAGTCATCATTAACTGTTGATATTGAACATATAGTGCACCGAGAGTGTATTGTCTTTACAGTGTCTATGAATTTATATAACATTGAAGTACAAATCTGAATTAGGCCTTATCTGCGTATGCTTTTCCATACAATCCTAATCTTTGTTTAGAAAGCGGAAGCGGCGAAGCGACGTTGTGGTGGTGCGTGGCAGACTTCGCCTCTACTCTGCCTCCGGGTTTTTCCTCTTCCTGGGACTGATGATCTTGGTAGTAGGCATAGGTATGGCAACGCTGGGCTACTGGCCACACGGTAAAACCAAATCCACCGGAGGAGGAATCAGGGCCAAGCCAGAGAAGGATTTGGCCGACACAAGCCATGATGTCCAAGGTAATGAGAAAGCAGGGTGACGCAGCGAAAGAGAGAACACATTTATTTTTTATTTTTTTAAGTGAGGCTATGTGATTGAGCAATAAGTGTCTACAAGTTTAGGCAAATTATATATTTTGGGGGGTTTCCACCCAACATCACTTCCACCAGGCCTGTCTTGGGCTATTTTGGAGCACCAAATCAACAGTGTTCTTTCTCTCTGGAAGTGTAACTAAATTTTTGATGCAGTGGCGCAGTATGTATATCACTCCCATTTCAACAACTACCAATATTTATTATTTCATTTGGTCTAGATGGTGAAACATTTGCCCCCTGCAGCTATTAGCTGAAGCTAGTAAATAACGACTCCCCACTCTGATCGTTGCATGCAGTCTAAATAAGTGCAAAGAGATGGTTTCTAATTCATACGTGATGTCTGATCTCTTTTGTTTATGTCTGTTTCATGATATTAGGTGCACCTTCCAGGCAGACTGAGGGAGCCTTGATGCGGTTCCTTGAACAACATCTTCACTCTGAGAGAATGAAGATGCTTGGGCCCTTCACCATGGGGATTGGGATTTTTATTTTCATCTGTGCCAATGCAATACTTCATGAAAACAGAGACAGAGAAACTAAGGTAGAGCTTAAATTATCTCATCAGCACACAGAGGAAAATACTTCAAAGTCATGCTGAAATTAGAGAAAATCATGTGAGAAAAACAAGAAATATTTGGTAGTAGGAAATGTTCTAAAAGACCGTTTCAAAACAGACATCCCCATGGTTATCATTCCCCCTCTATACTCTATACTATCCACCCTATGCTCTCTTAAACTACCCTTACTTCACAGAGAGGAGCATCTTCTCTGAATTCATGCTCGACATCTTGATGTTATGCAGATCAGATTTCCCCAAAATGCTTCCACCTTAATCTCTGCAATTTTCCCTTGATTACATTTTCCCTTTTCATGTGGCCTATTTTTTCCCTCCCTAATTCGATAAAACCACTCCTCTTCCTGTCTCCCATTCCTGGTAATCCAAACATGGCTACAATAACCACACAAATTTGCAAATATTGAGTTGTAATATGCTGTAACATAATGTAACAGAAAAGATATATCCATGGAATATGAAGACGAGTCCCACTGTTGAACTAATTTGCCTCTGTTTCAGATTATCCATATGAGAGACATGTACTCCACAGTCATTGACATACATCGGCTCAGGCAGAAAGAAGAACGAGAACACCATCACCGCAGCAGCACCTGTGCACGAGAAGTTTTTGGAGTTGATGTCGCTGCACGATTAGCCAGCAACTCCCTCCTAGGGTTTTCTTCTCGGGCTGGAAGTGGAGGAGGAGGATCCTTGGAAGAGGAAGAAGGGCTGCTGGGTGATGAGGATTTTCAGAGACGTAGAGAACAGGCCAAGATGGATTGCAGCTTTGCGGGGCTGTTGGCTCCGCTCTATAGGGATCGTCCATTTTATGGACCTGGGCTTGGGTTGGCTCATTCAGATTCAATGCGCCACCAGTGGTCAGTGGATGGAGAAGAGGAGAAAGGAGGACATCATGCAGGCTCCATTGTCTCCTCCTCCATCTCCGCATTTACTCTGCCTGTTATAAAACTCAATAACTGTGTGATTGACGAACCAGAGATGGAGGCAATTACCGAAGAGGACAGAGGAGACAGATTAGATGGAGAGAGGTCAAAGCCTCTGTGCTCCATGGAGTCTCTGGTGGTGCCAGCTGCTTCTGTTGCAAAGGCCTCCAAACCGCCAGGTTTACAGAGGAGCAACTCTGCCTCCTCTTACTCCCGCTGCTCCTCCTTCTCCTCCTCCTCCACCCTCTCCCCGGCTCCCTCCTCTACCTCAGGCTGCTGGCTTTCCCCAGGTGCAGCCAGGAGTGACTTTGGCTCCAATTCCTCCCTGCACATGCTCAACAGCCATTCCAAATCTCTGGACTTAGAGCGCGGACCAAGTATGCTTAGCGTTCGGACGGAGCAGCGGAAGCACCCCAGCTGGCCTCGGCTGGACCGCAGCAACAGCAGCCGGAGTCACGGTGGACACCGGGGCAGCAGCAAAGGCTACGTCCGCCTGGATGACAGGGATGACCAGGGAGAGCGTCTCCTGGATGTGTCATCATGTGCCGCGGCGAGGCGTGACTACAGCAAGCGTGAGAAGCTGATAATGATATCCAGGTCGCATAATAATTTGAGCTTTGAACACGATGAGTTCAACAGCAGCGCACTGAAGAGAGGCAGCTCTGAGACTCGATTCTAGAGCGTGACACTTCTGCCGTTCTGAATGTGTCTTGGAGGGAAACTGATGATATGCACACCTTTGAGAATGGAACCTCAAATGTGCATTTAAAGGCATTGTCCTGAACAAAAAGCTGTAGTAGTAGTTCAAGGTTTTGTAAATCCAAGGAGCTGATCAGTGAAATGTGAGCCATGTTTACTTCTCCTGGTGTGTTGGCTGTTTTTTTAAAAAACTTTATAAGACTATGCGTGTGCCATGGCAATACATGCTCCCCGTGACCTTTACTGCAGCAGGAAATACCACAGAGGTGGTTTTGACCACGTTGGCATGCGTTTGTATGTCTTTAAGGGTGTGAGAGACAAATAACGGCCAAAGTCAAGGATGTGGTGGGTCTTTTGAGTACAGGTAATAAAAAAGGAAAGCGACCAAGGAATGATTTGCCTATTCCTGCTTTCCAGTCCTGTCCCAACTTTTCTATTGATGTTTTTGTAAATTTCCAAATGAGGTTTCTGTATTTGATGTATCATGACATGATATTTTCCATCATGGGAGCTGTCAAAGATCTCACCAATATGGCAGCCGGTGTGATCCTCTATTTAGTCTCGAGTGTTTTCTTCTATTAGATTACATTTAGCCAATGGGGATGATTTGTTCAAGAGTGAATAGAAATAATGCAGGTTGCATTCAGGATAATTCAGGATGCAGCTGACACAAAGCAATCTAAATCAGCTGGTTTGATGCCTCTAGTTTGCTCAATAAGTCTGTTTCGTGTTCTGTTTGGTTGGTCAGATACTTTGAGGTATGATCATTCTTACTGATCATTCTTACTACATCTGTAAGTGTCGTTGGTAGAGTCCGTTTTGCTACTTTTAATGCAGCACAGCTAAAAAAAGTGACACAATGTCTTTATCTGAGGTCCAACTTGTATGTTATAGGAAACCGCTCTTTAAAAGTGGAGGAATTTTTAAAGAGAAAAACTGGTTTCCTAACAGTCTATGGGTCTCCGTCCAGTTTCATCCTCTCTAAGAATAAACTGTATTTTCGCTGAGATGTATTCTGTCTTAATGTGCGAATGTATTTAACCAACACTAAACACTTTTTACACATGCAGTCACTTGATAAGTTCAAGAAGTTGAATCAGTCATGTTTACCTTAACTTACAAATAAAGATTTGTTGGATGCGACCTGAACATCCACAAACGTTTCACTGTTAAAACATAATCCAATCACAGAGGCAGCACTGAATGGGAATCTGCTATCACGATCATTGCAGGAATACCATGCAAACATTTTTTACCAAATGCAGTTTGATGCTGCATCTGCAGACAAATCTAAAGTGTGTTAAACAAGCAATTTTGTACAGAAATACTCGTGAGTTCTCTCCTCGAATGAACAGAGAGACAGTGGGGACATGTTTTGTGGTCTGGTGGGTAAACACTGATTTAAGGGGGGGAAAGTCATCTTGGTGTCTATGCTGGAGATGAGACAGACAATCCATTCTGCTATCATAGAAAAATAACAAAACCAGGGTTTTTGACCGTATGGGGACCACATTTGTCCATCAAATGGGATAACTCTTGGAGATACAGTTTCCTTTCAGCAGGACAATGATTCTGAATGCTTGACTGGAAGGGTGATGCAATAAAAACATAAACTGACCACTGTCTCAACATTTTCCAGAAATCAGATTGTAGCAGTGTTTTTCCTGGATGTATCCATTAACAAAGGACAGCCAAATGACAGATTCATGACTATGTGGCATTTTGGAAAATTGATCAGCTTCTTTTTAAATGAGGTTTGGACATCAGCCCTACCCTAATACTCTCTCTCATCCTTACTGTCTTTTTCATACATATAAAGCACTGAACAAAAATCTGTATGAGTCATGGCCCAGTTATCGTATGCTCTGAAGCTTTGTTCTTTTTTTGTCCCTCACTCATTAGCCTAATCCTCGTTATCAAAACCAAGTCTTAATATGCAAACAGTTACTCTAAGTTTTGAAAATTATCCTCACTTTGAAAATCTCAATCTCAATCTAGACCTTACTGAAATGCTGAAATAACACATAGATGTGCACATATAAACAAGCTAACAGCTTTTTCAGAAGATGTTTGAAGATGTATACACAAAATTGCGCACGCACAATCAAATACACAGCAAAAACACATCTCAAAAGGACAAGGCTGATGATGCTGTTTCATCTATCTGAGTTACTGAGGGAACAGATGAGAATTCTAACCTCCGCTGAAGGCAGGAGACATTTTTAGGCATCAGAGAAGAATGATGTCGTATCCTGTTAACATAAAGCAAGAAAGCTAAAATTACTTTTTTCTGTTGAGACTTCACTTCCTCCCTTTGTTGATCCAGTGAGGAATTTGGAGACGAATATGAAAAAAAGGTACAGCTTATTTAAAAATAAAAAAATGTCATCCAGATCTCACTGAAAATTCGAAAAACAGGTTTTGTTTCTGGCAAAGCTGCCTGCATGTCCGAACTCTGGGAATGCATCAGTGCATGGGGAGCATAACTTCCTCAAGCTGAGGTTTGGTTGTTGAGCTTTAATGACAAATGGCTAACTTATGAAAAACATCTGAATGAATTGCAAACGATTCACTGCAGCCACATCAATAAATCCACAAAAATGCCCTCTCTGTTAATCCTGGTCATCTGGGAGTAACTGACCACCCAGAACAAGGAACTCAGATGTGCTCTGTCCCTCTACATTATCTTGGTAGTTGTGAAGCCTCGTGCCAATGTGTTACGGACAGACAGCTGGCGCCTTCTCACCTCCTCGGCTGTGTGACACACCACCTCCAGCTAAAGAGCTGTGAGTGCTGTGAGGAAACTCGGCCTTTCAGTATTACGACCAATTCATGCGCAATCCACAGCTGCTTCATTTTCATCAGTTGCTGGAATGTAATAAACATTAACTGAAGGTTCAGGGGGGTGATGGTTGGGGTTACAAACCTATGTAAGGCTGACCCCATCGGGCAGGTGATGAGGAAATGCTGTGTGTACGTATTCAACTGCAACAAATTTCCCAAACAGTCATCGTTGGCCATGGCTCTTGCATGAACTGTATTTGTAAGATCACAAAAAGAAATTTTAAAAAACTGCTGCAGAGAATTAAAATCATTTTGTTAATAGTTTAGAGTGGAATTTCTCACAGTGCAGGCTGTGAAGCACAAACATGTGCGTCTTTAATGAACATGTTGCACATAAAGACGATTTGCAGAGCCGACTACAAGGCTGACTACATCAGATATGACAGCTGCGCCTTCAATGGCATGTTCTGGTTTTTAAAGCTCCGCTCAGCTGATGTAAAAATAGAGCACTCTTCTTTTTACAGGTTTGACACAGGGTGTGTCACAGCCCTCCTACAAAGAATTAGGTCATAAAGTGCTCAATCCCTTCTTTTAACCCAAAGCCACCAAATCCTACAGGACATTATAGCAGCAACAGTTTTCATTTGGTGTAATGCCATTTTGTCACCTTTGACTGCACTTAAATATTGAAAAGAGTTGTTCTAGGACAGCTACATATGAACGTTTGTGTTTGAAGCTAATTTCAATTGCTGGAGAGAATTGAACTGTTAATTTCCTCAGGTCCACCAAAGATGAATAACCTGATTTCTCTACCTGTAATGAAAGGTTGTGATTTCATAACATCCTTTTTTTAAGTTGCTGTTCTTTGCTTTCAGTTTGGGAAAATCATAAAAAACAGTGGACAAACTGTGTATCATGTTCCAGTGTTTTAGCCACAAACAGCTATTGTGGCATGGGCTCTTGACTGGCATAATAAGCTAATAAACAGACTAATTATCATGGCACATCTGGAGGGTAAATTGAACGGTTTGCAGATTAGTCTGATGGAGTTTCTGCCAGCAGGGTGTACTGCATTAGCGCAGCTGTCAAGGATAATAGCAGTGCATCATGGTTTGGGATGAGCAATGCTGAATTAGTAATGGAAGTGAGTCATGCACTCAAAAACATATTGCTTTTTTTTTTTTAAAGCAAAGCAAAAAATAAAATGGATTTTTTTTTCAGGAGGAACAAATACTGTTTATTTGATCAAACTTTGTAATTTGTTGTATTCCAAAATGTTGAGGCAGACTGATGTGTTATATACCAGTAGATTAGTCTGTATCACTTTCAGACTCTTGTAAACAGAAGCTGGCAGATATCGCAGTGAGTTGGCCACAGGTTATGATATGTTGTCATTATCTCATAATGGCCCATCTTCTTGTCATTCTCTCCCCCAGAGCAGCAAATCCTTTTTAATTAAGAAGAAAACTGAGTACAACAGTGTAAAAGCCTTGTGGCCATTGCCATAGTGTGTTCATGTGTCTTTCAGTGGGTTTGTGTACTTGCCATGAAGCAGCAGTGGGGGTGCCAGCCCAGTTGCCATAGCAGCCCAAGATGTGCTCTGGACCCCTGCCTGAGGAGTAAACTCACACGATCACGGACACAAATGAACACAAACTGGGAATTTTAAGTACAGTGATATCCCCCAACAGCCAGCAAATAAATAAAGCAAAAAATTGCAGTAATTAAGGGGTTAATTTAATAGGTTTTCCTGTTTTGCCACAACAGACAGATCGACAACAGACAGATCGAGACAGGTTAGCACGGTGTATGTGATGCACTTGACCTAGATGTGTCCCAGCTCTGCTGATTGGAGGAAAGGGACGTACCAGTTTGTATAAATATATTATAGGTTTGCATTTTGTTTTGAAGATGGGCAACAGGGCCCTTCTACTCCCCAATGACGCCTGAATGGCTGCTTTGGTATGCCAGAAGTTTACAGAGGAGTTCATCTGAAACGCTGAACTTTACGACTTCCCCCTCCGTACCTTCAGTGAGGGCAGAACTGCTGGGGAGATCAACATGTACTCTGGGATATCAGTTTTAATCACAATATCCACTCAGGTAAATCACAGCTTTCAGGTTGAAGGGATGCCTTTGACGTTTTGGCTTTGTCTTCAGAGCTTTTAGTGCCTGAACTCTGAGAGAGCTCATTAC